GATGGTAAACTTTTCTTCCTCGCTGTCCCCGCCATCAAGGCGGTGCACAGCGGGCTCCTCCTTAGCGAATGTTGCTTGACGTAGCTCTCGTAGGACATCAAGGCCTTTCTGTTCCTCAACAGGAGGCAGCAGAGCAGTTAAGGCTGCACCAACCAGCAGGATCAACAAGAGTGGCCAAAGTAAGTGGGCTCCACGGAGTCCCCAACAGCAACGCACTGCCCTAAATAAAATATATTAAACAGACTTATTGGAGAAGCAGTTGCAATAATCATTGACGTTTGTCCCTTATATGTAATTATGAAACAAGACAAACACAAAAACACACTTAGTTGTACTTAACATTTAAATGAGATTCACTTCCACCTAGATCTAGGTAAATGATATCTATTTAAAAAGTAAGTATTAATTAGCTTATTGTCCCTTTCATTTAAGTAAATATTTTATATTAGTTGGGAACATAAAGAAAGGCCAAAACATTATTATAAAAAGAGAAACACATGACCAGAAGCAGCTAGGAGTTACCAAAGAAAAACAGCCAAAACAAACACGAATTACCATAAAAACAAACACAAACCCAGACAAGACGTTATGAGAGTTGATTTACGTAGTGAAAACATTAAACTACGAGCTTGTAAATACATACGTTGTTGCACATAAACAATGCACAACGTCGGCTCAGAATTGTTGCCGTTTGTTTACTGAAACCGTGGTGCTGTCACGTGTACGTACGCCATGCATTCCAATGAAACGTTTGATTTTTAAATTATGCAGAAAATATCATAACACTTGCAAAACATTTAACGCATTGAGACATTATAAGAACTTAGAACTCACCTCATTTTGTTGCCGCTGCAAACAGCTGGCTGACTTTACATGGTCGCCATGTTGATTTGGACCAGAGATCCTAAAAGGAAAGATCGGTCACAGACTAGCATCAGCCGCTTCACTTAACGAACTTGTGTGACGTGGATATAAGTATATATATATATAGGGATTTTTTAAAGCCTGTAATTTGATAAAATCGCGTTCCCATTTGGTCTAGAAAAATAAACAATTGCTATTTTCCCGCAGTTGTTGAATTGTTTTTGTCTTTGTGTCATGTGACCTGCTGACCCCCACACCAGAGATTTTACACACCATGATTGAACCCTGTTGAACTCTGTCGCAAAATATTTTCTCATCCCAAAACCCATAATATTTGGTTGTTATAAAATATATTTCTAAAATTAGAAAATTCAAACTTCCACATTTCATTTTTTTACATGAAGTTATTGATGAGCCGTAAATCTAAAGGGTCCAATATACGACTGACGTCACCCTCCACATCTGTTTAGAATTTCCTGTGCTCATTCCACAAGGGTTGGTGTTGGGTGCAAAGTCAAAACCTAAGCAAGCTGCAAATAACGGAACGTGGGGTCTGAACATACGACACTGGATACGAGGTTAAAACTATTTAGGATCATTTATTACATACCTTCGAACGCGTAGGAACATGGAGAGGACATGGACTTGTCCGACAGTCCCACTTTCCAATGGTCTGCAGATGCCAATATTTGGAATCGGTACGTGTTTTGTCCTACAAACCTGAAATATATTGCAACTTTTATTAAATATTTAATGATTCATAATTTAAGTAAAGATTATGAGCTTTAAAGAAGTAAACATTGCAAGTACATTCAACACCAAGTATTTCACGAGAGTGAAATTTATCATTAATCCCTAATAAGTCTATTAAATCTATTAAATCACTGAATCTGTGAAATGTAAAAAGTGTATTGTGTGAATTATTAACTAATCTGTGATTTGACTGAAGAGAACTGAGGGAATCCAAATGCCATACATGACAAAAAAAAAGGTTTAACCTGAATCATTTCTGTAAACACCAGGAACATCCCATATGGGTGGATATTCACATGATGCCATAGTGTTCGCCCTTGCTGACTGTGGCGTGTGCCACATTGACACTGCAAAGCGCTACAGCTGTGAGGAGCAGCTGGGTAAAACCATCAGAGAGAGCGGGAAAGAACGGAGCAAACTATGGCTCACCAACAAACTGTGGCCGGGAGACTACGGCTTCAAAGAGGCGAAGAAGGCCTGCATGAAGTCCTGCTCAGCGATGGGGGTGGAATATTTTGGTACTGCTGTCTGTTTTCTGTCAGTATAGGTCATTCATTAACACTTGTTTCACTTGGATAACCTTGTTCTGTTTACAGACCTGTTTCTGATGCACTGGCCTGGTTTGTTGCAATCTGAGGGCTCTAACAGGGAGGCGAGAGCAGAGACGTGGAGAGCTTTGGAAGAACTTTACGATGAAGGTGCTCCACGAGCTGGAACTTAACATGATAAGGGAGCAAAATGGAGCCAAAGTCTGCAGTACGCAATAAAATAAAATGGTGTTTCTCTGTGGTTACAGGAGTGTGCCGGGCGATTGGAGTCAGCAACTTCCTGATCCATCACCTGGAGCAGCTGAAGGAGGACTGCAGCATCATTCCACATGTAAACCAGGTGGATATCATCCACACAATAACCCCACATTTAAAGCTCTTTAAAAATGGCTGAAACATAGAATCAGAATGAGTAATGTTTTCCTTGTACTTTGATGACTGATACATGTGTTTTCACACATATTCTCTCACCGTGAGAATGCAGTCATAGCAGACAAAGACCATTCCTTAGGTTGTTTATCTGTATATATGAGTTGGTATAAATCATGCACTTGATGTCTTTGTGTTGGAGAGAAAACACGTGACCATACAGTGCTGTGTGATATGGACCACTAGGTGGAGTACCATCCTTTTCAGCAGCCTATTCAACTGATGAAGTACTGTCATCAAGAGGGCATCATGTTTGAAGGATACTGTCCGCTGGCCAAGGGTCAGGCCCTGAATGAACCCACTGTTGTCCAGATCGCAGAGAAGTACAAACGTACACCTGCTCAGATCTGCATCCGCTGGAGTATTCAGGTTGATATACCCTTTAAATATACCATATATACTGTGTGTGTGTGTATATATATATATATACACACACATATACACGCCTTGTAAAATGCTATTTTATGTTTTATTTTTTTCAGAATGGAGTGATTACAATTCCAAAATCTACCAGAAAGGAGAGGGTGAAAGAAAACTGTCAGGTAAGTTTGAAGGTTTCTTTACCCGAAGGTTCAATTGAAATGTCTTTTTTGATGGAGGTTTTTTTTCCATGCAGATAAACTTGACTGCATGCACAGTTCAATGTATTACTTTACTTTACTACTGTGTACACAGGTGTTTGATTTCCAGCTGGAGAAAGAGGACATGGACATGCTGGGAACACTGCACGACGGGAGACACGTTACTTGGGATCCAACAAACGTTCCATGATAACATGTTATTGATGAAGAAATTATACGACAATCTAGATACTATTTCAAGTAGAACAAAACGCGGTGAAAACTTCAATATGCAAATCGAAGTGTTTTGCGTGTCATATTTTGCACAAGCCTAAGGTGCTCTACATTGATTATACGTGCCTGTGTGAGCCACTGGTTCAACCAGTTTGAAGATGTTGATGAAGAGTCAGCTCAATGGTATCTCAGTTACCTTACAAGTATCGTAGCTCTTACCAGGAAACAATGTCTTGTGCACAAGGCTGGACTGGTCCCACTGTAATGCTTTCAAATGGAGTAGAAATACCAATACTTGGTATAGGTAGGTTTTCTTCTAATATTTTATAAGAAATACAGTCGTTTTTTCTTTACCCATGTCTCGTATGTTTGTACAATAAATACATTTGCCCCACTGATTGTTGTTTATAGCCCGTATTGGTTGCCAAGACTCGGGGTTGTAACACTGGTGTAAGTTGTTTTCTCCCGTAACGAGTCAATCATGCTGAACTTTGTACTTGAACCTTGGCTCTGCGAGGGCGTAAGAACACAAACAGAAAATACATTTTGTATTTGTGTGTGTGTTCATTTAAGGATGGAGAGCAATACTTTGAAACTTTCATGTGCGCGGGATTTCTCAATATGGATTTAACTGTTTTCTCACCTTACACGTTTGTCTGACATTCAGAAAGACCTGGGTTAGAACCCCATACATAAGACTCACACTGAAACTCCTTGTATGAAGAATCTGAACTGTATCCTATATTGTAGCACTGAGGTTGTGGAAAAAATGCAACCAGTCCCATCAGCACAGATATTTGAAATGCCTCACACACGGAGCACACATCAAGTGTGACTGGAAAAACTATAACCACTTGATAAAAAATAAATAAATAAAGGTAAAAATAAAGTGCTTAATACTTAATACATATGATTCACTTTTACTTTTGTTTCCCTGAATAGTATATCAGACAACTAAACAAATGTCTCTCCTTTAGGCACTTCCCAGGTTGGAGGATTTTCCCAGGATACTGTTAGGTTTGCACTCCAGCACTGTGGTATTCGCCACATTGACACATCAAAGTACAACAGCTTTGAGGTTCAGCTGGCTGAGGCTATCAGAGACAGTGGGGTTCCCCGCAGTCAGTTGTGGATCACTAATAAACTCTGGCCACAGGACTATGGATATGAATCTGCTAAAGAGGCTTTTAGGAACTCTTGTCTTCAGATGGATGTAAAGTATTTTGGTATGGACCAATGTTCATATTTGTCTGATTTATCCACTACCTGCACCTCATTGTTTCCTTGTTTTATACATTTGTTTACATTTTATTTCTCAGATCTCTACATGCTGCACTGGCCTGACTCAATGCAACCTGGTCGTTCCAACAGAGAACTTAGAGCCGAGGCGTGGAGAGCTTTAGAAGAACTGTATAAAGAGGGTATACATACATCAGTGGTTATCAACCTTGGCTTTTCAGCTAATTATTATTATTTTTAAAATTATGATTTAAAACACCACATATACACTAACTCTTAAACATTTGCATTCTTTCACTTTCATAAACATAAATCAAGTTCAAAATAAATGTAGAAAAACTTAAAAACATCCGAGCTGGTTCATCTCAATTGTCAACTGTAACGTTACATACAGATCTGGAAGCCTTGTGAATTGACAGCCAAGCAGTTTTGCAATTGCGGTAAAATAACTTCACCTGCAGCATCTTGCTTTCTCTCTGCAGGGTTGTGTCGTTCTATCGGGGTTAGCAACTTCATGATTCCTCATCTGGAACAGTTGATGCAGGACTGCACTATTGTCCCACATGTCAACCAGGTATTAAGTAAACAATTAGCAGAAACATGCCAAGGACTGCACTAAGCCTTTGACCAAATTGAACCATATTCATTGTCAGGTGGAGCATCATCCGTACCAACAGCCCACAAAGTTGATACAGTTCTGCCGTCGTGAGGGTATAGCATTTCAGGGATACTGTCCTTTGGCTAAAGGTCAAGCCCTCAGTAACCCCACAATTATAAAGCTGGCAGAAAAGTATGGACGAACACCTGCACAGATCTGCATCCGCTGGAGTGTTCAGGTAATTGAAATAGTCAATAAGGCTAGGTGAAACTCGGACAAAAATATGTTGTCAAATGTATTCTATCAGTGCATGTAGATATCATGTCTACATTTAATATTGTCTTCCAGAAAGGAATCATTACAATTCCAAAGTCAACTAAAAGGGAACGTGTAGTGGAGAACTCTGAAGTACGTACCAAAACTTTGAACTGATTAACATTGGGTTGAACTTACTACTGTAATAATGAGTTTCTCTTTCACTTCTCCGAGGTATTTGGATTCCAGTTGGAAGAGGAAGACATGGAGGCTATTAACAACTTGCATGATGGGAGGCATGTTTCCTGGGATCCAACCAACGTAAAGTAACTCGAGATGTGACAAGGTGTAAACCTATTTGCAATACCAGGATTATTGAAATGAGTGCAAAAGTCGGCACACTGACACATTCAGTTAGTTCATAACTCCACAAAAACACTTTTTTAGCAATCTGCTATTCTCATTAAGTTACAAATCAGTGCAAGTTTCCAGAATAATGTGCATGTTTGCATGAGACACCTCTATATGTCTGCCAACCTGTTTTAAGAACCTATGACTGATTTTGACAAATCATGTAGTCTGTAATATCTTCTTTGGATGCAGTTATTAGGTGTGTAATAGTTATCAAGCCTATCATATTCTTTCAAAGTCAGTTGCGTAATGTTTATTTTTCACAAATGTTTAAGGAAAAGAAAAAAGTAGATAAACAGATTTTTTTGCAGCTAAACATTAATTTACACAATTATATTTTTTGAGGGGTGGCGCTTTGGCCCAGAGGCAATGTCTCTGTCATTGGTGTGGAACCCCAGGGTTCACCTCCTGGGCAAGTTCGAATCCCGGTTAGGGCGGTTGGTACCTTCCAGTGGACTCACCACCCACAGGAAGGTTTGGGGGGTTGGTACGATGCAGTGTGATTTGGGTGGCGACTGCTACCCCCGCAACCCGGTAACGGATAAGCGGATGAAAATGGATGGATGGATGGATATTTTTTGAGGGCTTTTAAATAAATCATGAACTAAAAAAACCCAAGACCTAATAAACACAGCAGCTCAAAAAGTGTGTGACTTTGTGAACATTAGGAATCATTAAAAAACAAAATTTTGTTTTTCTGCAGGTGCAAAGCTGTTTATTAATATTAAACTTTGATAATAATAAATCACTGACAAGAACAGTCAGAGTTAGCAATATCATTTAATCTTTCCCCCTCAGCTTAGAATCACTGTTGTACATAAGTTACATTTGTTTTCTCAATTTCACAGGTTCATTTTTTTTTCTCTTCAAACTTCCAGTTTGACCTCCCTCTTGTATCAAACAAAAAAAAAAAACAGATTGTATTATAAAAAAATGCAAACCAATTTTCACACAGTGAATTCTCTTACAAAGTCATAAAATGGCGTAATAATGGCTACATCCACATTGGAGGAAGATAATTCTAGACATTCCTTAATGGAGTATAATATACATATAAAAACTTTTTTTTCCTGCTG